TTCGTTAGATAACCGGGGAACGCGGGCGCTGCCCGTCGGGGCTCTCCCCGATGTATCTCAGGGATTGATCCGAAAGGTCTTAGAAATGCTGTTGAGCTAGCGATGGATTTTAATAGGAAAAAATTAAAGCACATTTTTTAATTTTTTTTAATTTTTTTTTTCTTGCAACCATAAATATGCAAAATGTTCATCCTGCCCTAAGGGCCAGGGCAGACAAGATAAGGCAGTGCTTAAATGTTCAGAAGTGAATTGCTTAATGTTAGATACTTGTAAAACAGCCCATAAATCCAGCGCTGATAGTCATCCGGGCAGATTTATTAGCCGCAGTGCTGAAAAATTGGAAGAAGGGAAATCTCCTCTCGAGACTGTGTCCAGCTGTGTGCTGGAGCGGGGATCCCGGGTTGTGTGTGCAGAGTACCACTGCAAAGTGCCTGGTGCCCTTTTGCACTGCTTGTAATGTCCCGTCATTTAAATTATGTGCTGTTTCTTATCCTCCTATACTTTTTGGCTTGTTGGGAGTTTTTTTCCAGTTCTTCGTTTTTCGATGTTTCCTTGGTTTTGTCTGCTTATGCACAAGAGTTTTGGTTCAGGCTTCATAGATCACAGCCTCCCCATGAGAGCCTACCTTGCACAGGCTGTGGCCCATTTCCATTCTTTGGTTAAACGTTGGGGACAAGAGACAAGGGGACAAACAGTGTTCCCTTGTGTATGAACCACCCCCTGGTGTATGAACCTACATCCCCTGGTGTATGAACCAACTCACCATGGCACTCCTGGCCATGAAGAAAAATAGGAAAAAGTCTGTTCGGTTTGGCCAAGTTGAGCTGACTTTTTTTTTTCCGTGTGCATTTCTTGCTCTGAGCCAGGATAAATCCCGCCGGGAAGTGGGGCTGTGCTCCAGGCTGAAGACCGGATCAAGCCCTGCCAGCTGGCACCCTTGGCAAGGATGGCTGCATTGCTGCTAGTGCCAGGTCTGGAGTTGGGGCTAGGTCACATGGGCATGGACCCCACCAGGACTGGGAGCACTGTCCAACAGTCCAGCCCTGCTTGCCCACATTTGCGTGGTTTTTTTTTTTTTTTTTTTTTTTTTTTTTTTTTTCCCATTCTGACCCTGCTTCTCCTCCTTCTGCTCAAGGCCAACACCACGTGCCAGCATGATCAGCGGCACTTAAAGGGCACCTGAGCTCACCTGGGCCTTGCCCCATGGGCAAGGAGAGGACCTGGGAGAGGACAAGGAAGTGCTGAGCACCGGCTGACTGGCAAAGCCTGAGCCAGGGCTCTTGTGCCTGAGGGAGCCCATCTCCAGTGCGAGGAACCCACTTGAGCTCCTGCCCCATGGGTGCAGCACTTGAGGCCATCATATTCCTTCCAGGTGGGTCTGCCACACACCACGTCCTACTGGCTCCAGGCAGTGTGTCCACGACTCGGTTAGGGGGAGGCAAGCGCCAAGTCAGTTTCCTTGTCTTTCAAAGGGTTCTCAGGTCTTCCTGGAGCACCTGCTTCCCAGGAACCCCTAAGAATGAACAGCGACCAGCACCCAAACCAAGGGTAAGGGATGACAAAATATGGCCTTAGCAGAGGCAGGGGCACAAGGGCTACCCAGGGCCATGCCCGGGGAGCCGGGCACCGCCGGGTGGGTGTTGTGCCCTCCCGTGCCCAGGGCCACCCCCGCAGCATTGATCCGCAGGCCCCGCTGCCGCCAGAGTTGCTATGGGTTGCTGTGATACGCCTGTCAATAAACCCTGTTTGGATTGTGGAGCAGAGCGCAAGGTTTGTTTGTTTAGTGGTTAGAGGTTCAAAAGTCGGCATTGTCCCACTGCGAGTGAGTACAAGTTTTTTCTCCCTAAGGAAAAGCTGGCTGAGGCAAAAGGGAGGGAGAGATATCGGTGGCCCCTTTTATTTGCTTCCAGGAATAATTAATGGCAGCGCAAAAAGTTTTTTTTTTTTTTAAAAAAAAAGAGAAAAGATGACCATGCAGTTATGAAAGGCCATCAATAAGTAAATTAATCACTGTGGATCTGTGGGTGGAATAGGTGCTGCTTGGCATGGTTTTGCCAGCATTTCTCCATGTCTGTGGAGCTGGAGTGGCATGGGACCGGCAGGGCATGGGGCTCCCCACTGCAGTGGTGGCTGCAGCCTCTCCCTGCACTGGCCTGAGCTAGTGCCCATGTTGGGACTATTCCCATGACCCTTTCACAGCACTTTCCCAGCTGTCTGGAGCGCTGGAAATTGTAGGATTTCCAGCTATTGCTTGTAGGACCTTCCAGAGAGCTGCTTGCCTTGGCGGTGCTCACTGTGCACAGTGGTCTCGTGTGTCCAACGTTCAGTTGAGATGAATAAACAAACCCAACACATTTTAAATGCCCTTATTCCACATCTATTTCCCTCTTTGCTAGTCAACATTTATTTTCTGAATTCTTCTCCTATTCTTGACAATTTCTAAGTCATCTGCATCTTCCAGGCAATGCAGCACTTGGTATTAAAAGGAAGCACCCAAGTAAATTATATCCACGCCCAATTTCAAACATTTCCCCTCTCCCATCCCCAAAACAAATAAACCACCAGCCTTCCGGCTTCCTTTAGAGTCCTCATGCTTCACACAGGAGTGTGAAAAGGCAAAAATCAGCTATTTTGTTTTCTGTATGAGTCCAGCAGCTGAACTATGACGCTGAACTGAAGGAACCATCTGGAAGAGGCAAGTTGTCTGAAGTCACGGAGGGCACTGTCCAAGCCCTGCAAACCATGGATGATTTCAGCACCCAAGGAGCTCCCCACCACTCATTCCTGCGGCACCAAGCCAAACCAAGCTGGACTGACGGATCTCTATAGGTCAGAGCTGTCTGCTGCCTGGCAGGTGCTGGAGCAGATGTCCCTGGAAAGCCCCTGTTTGATGGCAGTACCACAGAATGTACTCTTCTCAGTAGAGGGACAAAATCCAAGAAATTAGAGGTTTTGGCTCCAAATGTGCAGATAGATGGAGAGTGGAATGAGACCTCTGCTCTTGTCTGGGCAGATTCTCCTGCTCTCATCACATTACAATAAGAGTGCACATAGTATCTCTTCCCTTGGCTCTTATTAAAAAAAATAAGAATTTCCCAAGAACGTCCGGTTTGTCCTACCTCTCCATAGGTAGAATTATAAAGCACGTACACGGAGAACTTTGATGATATCTAAAACAAATGCCTCCCTTCTCAAATTGTGGGCATCCCCCTAGTCCATGTTCTGTGCCCTTAAGCAGCTTGTTGAGCACCCTGTGGCTGTGGTATGAAGGCTATTTGCTTTATAAAAAGGAAGAAAATCCCTAAAGTCAGCAGTAAGTGACAATTTCCAAGGAACCCCTTTGCTTTCCAGCAGAAAGCAGAGCCCTTCCTTTGGAAAACCAAGGGGAGTTTTGCTGAGGGAGAATTAGCTCCTACTTCCAGGTGTCTATGTAGGGTCATCATTTCTCTTCTGCACTTCAGTGGTAGGTATGGAAGAGGAAGTCATGGAGTTTATAGTTCTGTTGACACAACACTGCTGTTGTAGTGCTTCACAGTCAAACCATGCATCAAAAGACCCTGTGTTTCCCCTGGATCTCACCTGAGACTGACTGGGAGTCAGGGAAGCCATATACTGAAGTTTGGAGCAGTTATAGCCGAAAGCAAAAGTTGAATGAATGCCAGAGAAAGTATTGGAGGTCTTCCAGGAGCAAACAGCTCGTAAGTGCTAAGGAAAGCCAAAGGACATGAATCTGGCAAAGGCATGTCTGGTTATGCAGGGGGCTCAGAGAGAAAATAAGGACACCTCGGTACAAAAGCACATGGGGTGACCTAATGAAGCAGAGTGCCAGGAGATGCAGACATGATCCCTAGAAATAGCCCAGGCTGCTTCCTAGGGAAACAGCTCTTGTTATGGGGTGAAAACCACTGGAGCAGTGCCCTGAACCTCTGGAGACAGACAAGGCCATCATCCCTCAGGAGGTCTAAAGGGCCCTCTGTGCCAGGCTCCAGCTGAGCTCCTCAGAGAGACCAGCACATTCCTTCTTCCCTTGCTGATGAGGAGGGGCTGCTTCCTCCTTGCCTGCATGCTTTGTGGCACCTTGACTGAGCTGGACATAAGTGTTTTCTTTTAATTAATTTCTTAACTTCTGTAATACCCTTGAAACCTTTCTTTATTTTCATCTCTTTCAAAAGGCAAATGCGCTTTCCTTGAAAGAGGAGAAAGGACATTCCCTTGCAAAGGGACAGAAAATATCTAAGTTATTCACTAAAACAAATAGCTTGTTGCCAGGAGATTGGACTCTGGATTCAGGAATCTCTTTCTAGTCCAATATTTCTAAATGAAAGTATCATCCATTTTGGGGTGACACTGCACTGATCCCACTGCAGATGCTTTCAAATCATGACAAATACGGGAAAAGAAAGGATGAGAGCTCCTAGAAGGCCACCTTTTCATGCCCATGTGAGTGTCTAGTTATGAATCCGTAGAAAACATCAGACTCCAGAACAACTAGCAATTGGCAAGATGGCAGCTAACAAGAATAACTTTCCTCTTGTTCCTAATTTTCTTCAAACAAAACATAGTATCTAAGGTCTTGGGAGTTTTTAACCATTCCTTACAATCTGCTGATCCCCGGTAGTTGAATTGGACAACTAGACACATTCCAAATACAACATCTGGGCTCATTATCTGACTCCTGCGCTCCTGAGATGTAAGGGCCCTATACTATTTGGCAAGAAGAGAACAAACCAAACTGAGAAAACATTGCAACAGCAAAT